AGAAACATCAATGATAAGAAGAATCCTTTATTGGCTGCCTCCTGCATGCCCCCTACTGGAGATCAAGCCCACAACCCCGGGCATGGGCCCTTGACCAGAATCCAACCTGGGACCCTGGGGTTAGAATCGAACCCAGGACCCTTCATTCTACAGGCCTTTGCTCTAGCCACTGAGCCACACCTGCTGGGACCATTCTGTGGTTTTTAAAAAGAAAATTTCCAGTATTTTTCAAATAACAGGCCACTATGGTCAATGACAGCAGCAGCACAATGGTTGATGGAGGTAACTCTGACCCTTGTTTTTGACTGTAGCTGTCTTCAAATATATTTGTTCACCCAGTCTTTCCAGTCATCCTTTCTATGCAGTTGTCCTTATTTGATTTTCTATATTACTATTTGTCTTCATTGTACTCTTTTTTCCCCTTTCCTGTGGGGTTTTTTTAAAAAATATATTTCTTTATTGATTTCAGAGAGGAAGGAAGAGGGAGAGATAGAAACATCAATGATGAGAGAGAATCATTGATCAGCTGCCTCCTGCACGCTCCTATTGGGAATCAGACCTGCAATGCGGGCTTGTGCCCTTGGCCAGAATTGAACATAGGACCCTTCAGTTCACAGGCCGATGCTCTATCCAGTGGGCCAAACTGGGTAGGCTTCCTGTGGGTTTTTGTTAATAGATAGGTGTCTACTTACTCTGGGATGGGAAAAGATTCTCAGATCTCTGATTCTGCCATCTGGCTGATGTCACTTGCATTGGTCTTTTGCTGTGATCTCATCTGTGCTTTGCTGTTGTACCGCAGTGTTGACCATCCATCTTTTCAGTGTTTTCTTCTATTATTTCTATCATTTATCCCGTAGAGTGAATCAACTGGGAATTACGCGGAAGAATCATTGCTGCATCACAGTAGAAACATGACTTTGTGAACGACACAGTGGACAAATGCGGTTTTGCCTGAATAAGGGGCTGTAACAAAACACCTGGGCTTTGTTACATTCATAACTAGGAACCCATTTGGTTCAACATTGTTTTGTTAACCATTGCCCATTCTTCACCCAATTCTTCTTGTTCTTGCTTCTTGTTGACATTGTGCCAACGACTCAGTTTTAACACTTGGAGTGCGGGTGAATTTCCCGCCAAAATATAAGATGGCTCTGTCTTTTGGTTTTGTTCCATCCACCAAAAGGGTGGATTACAAACAAATATTTGGTAATACGCAGTTACAATCGGCCCGAGTTTACACGTTTCCCGCACTCCACCGCAAATCTATATGAACCGAGTTAAAGACGGCTCCCGCGGAGTACGCGCAATTCACGCGAGCCGACTTAACTCGTTTCCCGCACTCCAAGTGTTTTAATAGTGATCAGTGCTCATTCTCCTTGGATTCTCAGTCCATGGATAACCTAAGCTCTCTAAACTTTTCACCTCTACCTCTTTCACAGGTCTCTCTTTAGTGCCCTCCACCGTTGGTCCATGCCTGCAGAGCCTTAGAGTGCACACCTATTACTGTATTGAAGTAGAACATCATGTGCTCTAATACAATTGATTTTTATGGGTTAGAGCACATTGGAATTATTCTACACAGACTCAGTTCACCAGCATGAAAGGTCCTAAAGGAAGCCATTTGTGGAGGAACAACTAGCAGACCCTTCCTCTCTTCTTTTTGTCCCATCCTGTGCTCTGTGCCTTCTTTGGTGAGATTTTCACCATTGACTGACCTTTGGGGCCAAGTAATGTATAACAGCCATTTCCTCAGAGTCTAACTCACTTGTCTGTAAAATCATTTTATAGAATTATGCCTAGTTATGACAGATAAACATTTGTGGTGAGGATACTCTGTTTTCATAAGGTCAACATGTACTTAACCAGCGTTTCCTTTTGTTCAGGTTGCTGCTGTGGAGCAGAGGATGTGGAGGCACCCACTGAACAGAAGGATTCTGTAAGAGTGTCACAGGCAAGTATTCCCAAGTTACCCTTGTCTTCCCAGGAGAGCCACCCCTGTGAGAGGTGTGGGCTAGTCTTGGGAAACATTTTCCACTTGACTGAGCTGCAGGGAATACAACTCGGACAGATACTGTTGAGGTGTGGGGCGTGTGCACAAGGATTTTATTTCAGTACAAAATTTCACCAGCAGCATGTGAGAGAGCAGACTTTCATTAGAGGTGTGGACAGGATCTCACTTGCAAAAAGCTGCAATTTCCAGGTGTCCCAGAATCATGTCACCTGTGGGGAGGTGGTGCAGGGTGTCCTTACCGAGTCAGGACATCTCCACCTAAAGGCTGCTGAGACCAGCGATAGGCCAGAAGATATTTTGAAATGTGAGGTGAAGTTTCAAAGGAGAGAAGAATATAACAAGGTCATTGGCTGCAATCACACGTTTATTCAGGACAAGTGTGTCCATGCTGGAAGTCAGTGTTTTCCGTGCTATGAATGTGGAAATTACCTTACCCAATTTTCTAGTTTTTATGAACATGGAGAAAAGCCTTACAAATGCAGTGAATGTTGGAAATCTTTTACGACGATGCATAGCCTTCGTTGTCATCAGAGATTTCACACAGGAGAAAGGCCTTATGAGTGCAGTGAATGTGGGAATTCTTTTACCAGTAGCACTGCCCTTCGTCGTCACCAGAGACTTCACACTGGAGGAAAGCCGTACAAATGCGGTGAATGTTGGAAATCTTTTAAGAGAATTGAAAGCCTTCATTGTCACCAGAGATTTCACACTGGAGAAAGTCCTTATGAGTGCAGGGAATGTGGGAAATCTTTTACCAGGAGCAATGCCCTTTGTCGTCATCAGAGAGGTCACACTGGGGAAAAACCTCATAAATGCAGTGAATGTGGGAAATCTTTTGCCACTAGCAGTGAGCTACACCGTCATCAGAGAGTTCACACAGGAGAAAAGCCTTATAAGTGCAGTGAATGTGGGAAATCTTTTACAAGAATTGATAGCCTTCATTGTCACCGGAGATTTCACACCAGAGAAAGTCCTTACGAGTGCAGTGAATGTGGGAAATTTTTTATCAAGAGCAGTGGCCTCCATTATCAAAGTTTTCCCACGGAAGAAAAACCTTATACATGCAGTGAATGTGGGAAATCTTTTACCAGGAACAGTGATCTTCATCTTCATCAGAGAGTTCACACTGGAGAAAGGCCTTATGAGTGCAGTAAATGTGAGAAATCTTTTACCACTAGCAGATACCTTCTTTGTCATCAAAGAGTTCACACAGGAGAAAAGCCTTATAAATGCAATGAATGTGAGAAATCTCTTACCAGGAGCGATCATCTCCTATATCATCAGAGATTTCACAGTGGAGCAAGCCATTATGAGTGCAAGTAATGTGAGATATCTCTCAGCCAATTTTTTAAAATTGTCTCTGCATAAAAGAGTCGAATTGTGCGAAATTTCTTAGATGTGTGGAACATGTTTCTTAGTTCGGTCTTAGCAATAGTATTAGAAAATTTGTGAATTCTCATTAATCTGAATTGTAGCTCATACATTTAATCACCTGCATTATGTAAAGTCTCCTCAAGTGACTTTGTTGTTGTGTTTTGTTTGTTTTTATGTTGGTATCATATGTATCTATGTTACACTTTCTAACATACGGAGACATGTTGCCAGATCTGTGTCACTGCATATTTCTGTTGCTGAAGGTATTTCACCTGAACCACCTATAAGGTCCCTACAGATGGCATCAGTCACCATCCTCTTATGCCCAGCAAAGCTAACTCTGTTGTCTAATTTGTTGAAGAAAATGAGGAATACCTGAGCCCTTGGTTCTTACTTGTTTCCCTGTCATAAGTTGTCACATAGGACTGATTACTGTTGGCGCCAATAAACATAATGTTGCAGAGGGACTGCCATTTTCAGGGACACACTTTCCCTAGATGCTAATAATGTCTTTATTGAGAGCCTAAGTCATCAGTGAGAGAACTGCCAGTCTCCTCTCTCTTTGCTTTGTAAAATAATGAAGGCTTTTTCCTAAGACTTCTTTAATCGTGGGTTTGCTCTTTACTCTATGGCTAGTTTATAATGAGATCTGGCCTCTCCAAGCATGATCAGGTGAAAAACATTTATTGGGTCTGAAATATTTTTGCCCTTGGGGGAACATTATGGTGCAGAAATTAGCTCAGCAGTTTTTGCCAAATTTACATTGCTGCCCATATTTTCCTAGGAAACACTCTGGACTCTCTAGTCCTCATGTGATGTCTGGATGCTTTGAGACACAGAGATCACTCCAAGAAAGGGGTTGCTGTCACAACCTCCAGTACGTCTTCTAGCAACATGAATTTATTTCTACTTTTCAAGGGATACCAAGACATTTGAAGGGAATCACTTGCACAGGTCTTGCAGAGGGCCATGTGCCCTAATGCCTACAATTTCAAGGATGTTGGTCACTGGTTTGAGGACCAGTGCATGTAGGGGAAATCCTTTCCTAGCAGAAACACAGACCTAATTATTGTTGGACAAGAGTATAGCCCATTAGATGGAATGGGCCTCATCTAAATGTGCATCCGGGCTTTTTAAAAAAAAAAAAAAAACTATAAGAGCTGTGTGTACACATATCTGAGCATGTTTATCTTCTGTGGAGCAGTCATTGTCATTGAATATAATCAGTAGCTTTTGTGGCTTCCTGTAGCTTCTCAGATGTTCCCATCAGACCCACTGGTGCACTGGCAGCAAAACAAAGATGAAGACAAAGACTGTCTTTCGTCCAGGGATGTGACTTTTGTGACCCAGCCAGCATTCCAGTGGGTTTGGGTGAAAGTTCTTCATTGTTTGTTACATTTCATGTCACTGACATGAGACTCTCGCCCAGAGGGCATAAGTATGGGGATTAAATATAGACTTGCCAAACCTGTTGTTCCAAAATAGGTGAACATACATTTGTTTTATCTAGAACCATTTTTGAAAAGCTATAATGAGTAAATTACATGTGTTAAGTATAGAGTTTCATACATCTTGACATGTGCATGAAATTGTAACCATCATTATAATACTGACCATATCTGTCACTGTGTAATTGCTTCCTGACCTCTTTTAATCTGTCCCTGTTCTTCACAGCTTTCCTAGTAACCATGGATTTACATTCCATTTTAATAGAGAACTTTGCTTTTTAAACTAAGTATTTTTCTGCTTTAAGTTATGTTTCATAACTACTTGGAGGTTTATTAAAGATACTAGAGGCCCAGTGCACAAAAATTTGTGCACACGGGGGGGAAGGGGGGTCCCCCAGCCTGGCCTGTGCCCTCTCCCAGTCTGGGACCCCTCGGGAGATAACGACCTGCTGGCTTAGGCCTGCTCCCGGGTGGCAGAGGGCACACCCAATCCCTAGGTGCAGCCCCTGGTCAGGCTCAGAGCAGGGCCGATTGGGGAGTTGGGGCGCTGCCCCGTCATGCACAGAGCAGGGCGGATTGGGAAGTTGCGATGCCACCCCTAGTCACGCTCAGGGTAGGGCCGATTGGGGGGTTGGGGCACTGCCCCCTATCACACTCAAGGCAGAGTCAATGGGGAGGTTGCGGCGCCACCCCCTGTCACACACAGAGCAGGGCCGATCACGGGGTTGGGCGCTGCCCCCTGTCACTCACAGAGCAGGGCCCATCAGGGGGTTGGGGCGCTGCCCCCTGTCACTCACAGAGCAGGGCTGATAGGGGAGTTGGGGCACCGCCCCCTGTCACACACAGAGCAGGGCGGATCAGGGGGTTGGGGCGCTGCACCCTGTCACACTCAGGGCAGGGCCAATGGGGAGGTTATGGCTCTACCCTGTCACACACAGAGCAAGGCCCGTGGAGGGGGGTTGGGGCGCCACCCTCTATCGCCCACAGAGCAGGAACAATCAGGGGGTTGGGGCGCCGCCACTGTCACACTCAGGGCAGGGCCAATGGAGAGGTTATGGCTCTACCCTGTCACACACAGAGCAGGGCCCGTGGGGGGTGGGAGGGTTGGTGCGCCGCACCCTGTCCAACACAGAGCCGCAGGGCGATCAGGGGATTGGGGAGCTCCCCCCTATCAGGCACAGAGCAGGGCTGATCAAGGGGTTGGGGCGTCTTCCCCTGTCATGAACAGAGCAGGGTGGATGGGGAGGTTGTGGCCCCGCCCCCGTCACACACAGAGCCGCAGGGCGATCAGGGGGTTTGGGCACTGACCCCTGTCATGCTAATCCTGGTGCCTGGAGGCATGTTACCCTTTTACTATATAGGATAGAGGCCTGGTGCATGGGTGGGGGCCGGCTGGTTTGCCCTGAAGGGTGTCCTGGATCAGGGTGGGGGACCCCACTGGGGTGCCTGGCCAGTCTGGGTGAGGGGCTGAGGGCCGTTTTCAGGCTGGCGGGTGACTGAAGCTCCCAACTGCTCCTTTTTTTCTTTTTCTTTTTTTCTATTCTGGGCCAGCTTTAGCTCTGAGGCCTCACTGCTGAAAGCAGGTTTCTGGCCTTTACCTTCTGTATTTGATACAATGTTGCGGTCCGGCTGGCTGAAGCCCGGCTGACTGAAAGCCGGTTTCTAGGGTTTTGTTTAGCTTCTATATTTGCAACATAGTTGCTTAGAGTTGCAGCTGAGAGGCCGGCAATTCAGGTGGGGAACGTTGGAGTTCGCCATCACTGGAGCAAGCAAGCCTCCCTGCTCGCTTCAGTGCATGGCTGCCGGCCGCCATCTTGGCTGACAGTTAATTTGCATAAGGATATGCTGATTAGCCAATGGGAAGGGTAGCGGTCGTACGCTAATTACCATGTTTCTCTTTTATTAGTGTAGATATTAGCAACTCATCTTTTTTCTGGTAGATATTCTTATCTTTGAATATATCACCATCAGTTTGTCCATTTTAATACATATTTGGTTATTTCTAATAAAGCCAGTACAAACATTTGGGTACAATTCTTTATATGGATATAAGTGTTATTTACCTTTTTGAAAAACTCAGTGCATAATCTGAGTTTTTGGGTAGATGAATGTTTAAATTTACTGAGATCAGCAAATTGTAATCTAAATGGAATATACCACCAGGGCCTGTGTGGCTCAGGCAGCATCTGGTGCAGCACAGGGTTGTGGATTTGATTGCCAGTGGGGATAAGTGCCTGTGTTATGGGCTAGATCCACAGAAGTGGGTGTGCAGCAGGCAGCTGGCCGATATGGCAGTCTTCCATCAATATTTCTCTCCCTCTCCCTTCTCTCTCTAAAAATTAGTAAACTCTCTTTAAAAATAAAACTTGCCCTGGCCGGTTTGGATCAGTGGATAAAGCATCAGTCTGCGGACTAACGGCTCTCAGGTACAATTCCAGCCAAGGGCACATGCCTGGGTTGCGGGCTCGATCCCCAGTCGGTGGCGAACAGGCGGTAGCTGATCAATGATTCTCCCTCATCATTAATGTTTTCATCTCTCCCTCTCCCTTCCTCTCTAAAATCAATAAAGACATATATGAAAAAAACAACATCAGTTTCTATGAGCATGTCTTCTGAGAACAGAGTGAGTCAACCAATAGCCAAGCTCTAGGATATGCTAATAAGTAATAAAGATTGTTTAAAAGTCAATAAATAAAATAAACCTTAACTGATTGTACTTTGCATTTTTCCTTCAGCTGCCTCCTGCACACCTCCTACTGGGGATGTGCCCGCAACCAAGGTACATGCCCTTGACCGGATCGAACCTGGGACCATTCAGTGCCCAGGCCGAGGCTCTATCCACTGAGCTAAACAGGTCAGGGCTGAATTTAATTCTTTTTTTTTTAAAGTATATTTTTATTGATTTTTTTACAGAGAGGAAGAGAGAGAGAGAGAGAGTTAGAAACATCGATGAGAGAGAAACATCGATCAGCTGCCTCCTGCACATCTCCCACTGGGGATGTACCCGCAACCCAGGCACATGCCCTTAACCTGAATTGAACCTGGGACCTTTCCGCAGGCCAATGCTCTATCCACTGAGCCAAACAGGTTTCGGCTGAATTTAATTCTTTATTCTTGTATTAGCTTCACCCAAATAGAGAGGATATTTTTTTCATTGATTGTTTTTTTAGAGAGAGAGTGGGAGACAGAGAGAGAGAGAGAGAGAGAGAGAGAGAAAGAGAAAGAAAAACATCGATTGTCTGCCTCCCATATGAGCCCCTATTGAGTAAGGGGAGCGGACCTGCAACCCAGGTACCTGTATTTGACTGGGAATCCATGTAATACTAACCAATTAAAGAAGAAAAACCAATGGTCACATAAATAGATGCAGAAAAAAACATCTGACAAAATTCAATATTCATTCAGGATAAGCATTTTCAAGAAACAAGTACAATAGGTCCTTGGGTTATGTCGGAGATCGTTCCTCACGGCGCAACGTA